GTGTGTGAACGCGATTAGCGAATTCGATTCGCATTCGATTCGAATTCAACTCGAATTAAATGTACGTGTGAACGAGGCATTACTTACCAAGTAATTCTCATACATATGTGATAATAAAACGTAATATAGATCAATATTTAAGCGTCCCAATGTCTCTCGCCGATGCAAATATTTTACCTGTCCAAGGATAATAACTCCAATATATTTATTTTGGGGTTCTTTAAAATTTTTTCATACAAATCTGTAACGAATTGTAGGATTTAGAGCGCTTACAATGCTATTTCTTATAGGGACATTAATCCTGTAAATATAATTGATCAGTGTTGAATTTACAACTCGTTTCTAATATCAACGATTGATACACATGTCCTAACAATCCTACAAGAAATGTAGGTTTGCCAGCGCTTATAATGCAAGTTTTCATATAATTCATATTTCCATACTGCTTTATAATAGAATCGGCACTGATTCTCGAAATCGTCCTTGAAGTTGCTGATATAAAATACGAAATAAATTTCATAGAAATCAGGAAAGAAATTAAACACGTGTGAGTGCTTAAAACATTGGACGGACGGACTTCCGGTATTTCTTTGTCCCACAAACCGCAATGTGGCAGGGGACAATAATGAGATATTTAGAAGCTACTAAAAAAAAAACGTTTCAGACTGACAAAAACATAGCAAAAAACGACAAACAACAAAGAGACAAACAATAGTAAACAAAACACAATATAGAAAACTAAAGACTAACAATAGTAAACAAAACACAATATTGAAAACTAAAGACTCGATATTGTATTCCAACTGTTTTGATGAGTATTGTTTAGACAAAACGTGTACCTGGCGTGCTAAATTATAAGCCTTATATCATCGATGATTTTAACACCAACTGGGTAAAAAACATACAAAACACAAGTGTCTTTCTACCCCTAGGCATAGATGATCTTTGTGATACCTGGCCATTTTTTTTATCGTACCAAGTGTGTCTTCTCTCCTCATTTTTTTGTACCTAGTTTCAAGATATGTATATATATATATCCTTTTATCTAGCTAAGATAAGTAAGGACGGTTATTTCTTCCTCTTTATGAACCATTCGTTAACCATTCAATCGAGATATTAAATAAAACATTCGTTTGATACATGCTCTTTATATGTCTAAATATATCCAATACGTTGCTTGATATTATAAGATTTGAAAAGGGAACGCGGAGAGGGACGATAAAACACGCATTCTTGTTTACATAAATCTTGTTTTATTACGTTAAATTTGATGATTAATTTTCAATTTATTAGTTTTGTATTTTTTTCAGGAAAGGGTAGGATGTTTACTTTGGTTCCCATTCATTAAATTCTCCGTCTATGGCTGTCCAAACTTAAAGCTCTAGGCGTTCCTGATGAAATAAATCCAGAATTACGAATCAAACGCAACAATTCAGAATATTTCCTTTTGATTATCTTTTGAATTTCTAAGTCATGTAAATTACATGCATCCGATTTAATATGCCGTATTTGTGAATTTTCATTCATCTTACAACCATTTTTTGTCACAAAGTCAAAATTATGTCATACATGTTTTGACGAAATGGCAAAAACTTTCTATCATTGTTATTGAAATATTTTCTATGCTTTCTAAAGAAATGCTAAAAAATGTATAAGACAGGTACAATATATTTTAAACATTCTAAGGCTATCGATTTGTTAAATTACAGTTCCATTGTATCATCAACAATGGTTATTTCAAAGAGGTCGACTTTCTCCCGTCATGAGGACGGTAAAAATGTAGTTGAGAATTGAATGTATTCTTTACTACGAGTGGTATTGCCAGCAGGAGATTTTTATTAAAATATAAGCCCACATATTAAAGGTTATTTAAATTATCTGTTTGCTTAACATTTGAATAACTTAAAAACTGAAAAGAAAGATAAATTTTCGATTTACAAGTTTTATGTTGGTTGATGAGAAATTCATGCAAGTTTAACTTACTCATACCTTTATTCTATACACCGAAAAAAATAGTATCCGAACAATTATTTTTGATGTTCAGATGCTTTTATAGTATCATTTAGAAACATACAACACATTTTTAAATGAAAATGAAATATGATTATCCAACCTTGAAGCCAAATTTAAGTTCTTTTGTATAAATAACGGTGAACTGTAAATGCTATACTTATGGGCGTGCAGTTTGATTCGGTATTTATTTGTTGTAAAATATGAATTCCAGACTAATTAAGTCGTTTAAATGGGATTGATGTTATCTTGGACAGAGTTGTCTTCGGTCTGTGTTGTCGTGTGTTCTTGTTCGCCTCATGATCACAACTTGTGTTACAATTTTAAACATATATTTATTATAAAAGCATTCTAATTTACCACCTGGGTTTGAATATATATTGTAAATTTTGTGTTTTTTTTTTTCAAATGTTATTGTATCTCTGTACCGATGTTATGCATTGGTTTTTTGAGAATAAAGATATATATAAAGGCAACAGTAGTATACCGGTGTTCAAAAGTCATAAATCGATTGAGAGAAAACAAATCAGGGTTACAAACTAAAACCGAGGGAAACACATCAACTATAAGAGGAAAACAAAGGAACAACAGGAACACTGAAGTATATCATATATAATATGAGTCTTATTTTTAAGATTCGGGTCGATAAAAAGCTTGGGTTCGTATAGTTATCTCTAGACGTTTACGTATGTTCGTCCGTCCTTCCATCCATCTGTGCTTGAGTCCGTCTGTCCGTCCCATGAAAATAAATGTTCTTTGCATTTTTCTCATGAAATGAAAATCACGGATTTCTTAAAATTGGAATCAAGAACCATGTGAGCATGCTTTACCGTGTGATGCGTCTCCACATCCATTACGCATCAACTACTAGTTAACCGAATATTTACAGCAGGGGTATTATCTGTGAGTATTAGCTCACAGTTCAACTTGAGTGTGTTTGGTAAGCTGGTTATTTTATCATGCTTCTGTTGTTGATCCACAAAATTCATTTTATTTGAAATATTACTAGTATCTTGTGTGATTTAAGATTTGTGAAGATTTTGTTTGCTAAAGAATACGGTCGGCAAAAACATGCATTTAACCGGTTCCGGTCCATATGGCCTAATAACCTTCATCGAGCAATTTTTGTCAAAATCTCATGTTCGGAAGGCCCATTATATTGGATTTTCAGGCGCATCAAACAAAGTAAAAACAATTCAAACGAGAAAACCATATACAAAACAACAAACGTACTGTTACACCACTGTACCAGGTTAAGGTTAAGTCCACCACATTATGTATGTGCCTGACCCAAGTCAGGAGCCTGTAATTTAGTGGTTGTCGTTTGTTGCTGTATATCATATTTGTTTTTTGTTCATTGCTTTGTACATAAATCAGGCCGTTAGTTTTTCTCGTTTAAATTGTTTTACGTTTGTCATTTCGAGGCCTTTCATACCTGACTATGCGGTATGGGGTTTGCTCATTGTTGAAGGCCGTACGGTGACCTATATTTGTTATCTTCTATATCATTGGGTCCCTTGGGGAGAGTTGTCTCATTGGCAATCATATCACATCTTCTTATTTTTATAAAAGATGATACACATCGACAAACGACAACCACTGAATTACATGCTCGTCATTTGGAAATTTGGCGGGGTTAGACTCATTTTGATTTTAAATATTAATAAACGATTTATATACTTGGCTTCTCACACGTATCCGATGAAAGAAAATCCAAAAAAGATTTGTCATGCGCATTAAAATCGGTTTCATTAATTTATTTACCTATACCATATGTCATTCTTTGCGCTAAAAAATGTCAATTCATTAAAATATGCAGTATAACATTACGGATTGGATTTCACATTATAATTTAACTGTTATAGTGTAGCTCGGTTTCAATATAGAATAATTTGTGAATCAGATAGTTCAGTTAAGTAAATTGATCCTTGATTTTTTTGTGTAGAATTCATATGTTAAATAATCAATTGTAAGTCAGAGGATGGAGGTTTTATTTTTATTATTTTATTACTTTTTAATGTTAATGCCTTTTCACATGTTTTATTTAAATTTCATTAATTCAATCATATCATTGATATCTAAATACTTTTTATACTTCAATCACCTTTGAATTTGAGTTTTATTTTTCTTATATATCAAACATTAAAATATGTTTTGCTTTGATGCCTACATTCAAATAGTTTAGTACATTCTTAAAACCGAGCATCAGTTAAAAAAGGGGTACTACAAATATGATTAAAAACAAAACAGCATGCAAATTCCTTTAATATTTTATATTTGTTTCCTGAACTAATTTAAAAACTTCTTTATAAAATTATTTGGGTAACTGACAACTTAATATTAAACATGCTCTTTATATGATTATAACTAGTTTGAAGAAGATTTTGGTAGAATTTTCAACAGTTAAGAGCAGATACAAGTGCATACGTTTATTTTGTCTTATCTAAACCAATCTTGCATTTTGCCTTTTCAAAAATAATGTTTAAAATTATAAGATAAAATAGTTCATTCAAAAAATTGTATGAATCCGTTTCCGTTTGACTTGATCTCATACAATAAGGAATGTAGTTATTAGGTATGAAAATTACAGCCTATTACAAAATGTTTTCGTGATTATGAATTTGATCCCATGATTATAACAAAAACTAACTGCAGGTTAAAACACAATTACAGGTGTTAATTTTGTCTGAACAGGTAAAACATTCTAAAAGTCCTCAAAAAGTGATCAAGTAGCAATACGGACAAATTTATCAGAATTTGTTTGAACAGAATAAAATCAAGAATAATTCTAGAAATATATTAAGTAAATACAATCTTATCCTTGTTCAAGTTGTTGTTCTGTGTGATGAGCCAATACAGTTATGTAAAACAAGTTGTTTATTTACATATCATTTATAAATAAAATCGTTTCATTATACATGCACATTACCAGAGCATCATAAAAGATTAATATTTCTTTTGTGTTTGTTTTCATTAAAAAGAAAACCTACCTGTAATCAAAGGACTTCCGGAAATTGTCAGGAATAGAAATGTCCGAAGTAGTGACATATTCAGGTGTAAATGTCCACCTGCCGTCTGTCTGTCACCCTGGCATGATTATATTGCACTATTACATTGTTAAAATCCATTTAAAAAACTATACTTTAAGATATATCCTTCCAGCATACACCATTCCCATGAAATATTATTTACCTATGCAAAGGTAAACGAAATATTGTTAATCCATATACCGTACGTTTTTACAAGTCAGATGAAAATAATGTTTCATTGAATATTGCCATTCAAATATACCTTGTATATTAAATTTCAAATTCTTCTGTCGAAACCTGTCGTCTGCTCTTGTCAAATGAAACGGCCAGGTGACGCAGATTTGATCCATCAGATGATAATATTCTTGTACCACGTGCAACTATAATCAATATGTCAGTTTGAGGGATATTGAATGCAAGTCCAGCCTCTAAATACGGTAATAAATTGACGAGCTTATTTTATTTAATTATTTAATAAATTTTACTGTTCTAATGGGAAATTAGCGGTAGCTTGACTTCATTATAGTTAAATAATATAATTTGAGTACCGCATGCACGTGACTCGCATAGTACAAAACATTTTGAAAAAGGAAAGTAGTTGTTATATAAAATACGAATTATTTTTTATAACTTTTAAACAACATTAATCATAAGAATTAAACATTTTCTGATCAGATAATGATTCATATATATACTCGGTCTTGAATTGGAAAGATCAACAAGATTATACAGCATCGGTTTAAAATATGAACAACTTATTCCATATTTTTTTATTTGTTTTATTTTAAAATAGCGATATTTTGATGATGAACATTATTACATCATTGCCGTCGTTGACGTCTCGTCGAATTGACCGAGTCTGCTGTAAGATTAAGAAACAGTAGTTTACTGATGTTCAAATCTCATAAATCGATCAAGAAGACAAATCAAGGTTACAAACAAAAACTGAGGAAACCGCATCAAGTCCAAAACAATTGTCAACTACTTTCAGCTGCAATCAAACATGATTTGGTCTTTAATGTTGAATATAAAAAAACACACAAACACACACAAACACACACAAAACAATTCGAAAAGTAAAACACAATCTAGTTGATCTTGAGTCCATGTTACATACTTTAAAAAATGACAGGTTCTTTTTAAACCATGAGCGTCAAAATAGTTTCAGGTAGAAGAATTGTCGGAGCCAAACATTCCAATCTCCCGGATACAATTTTTTCAAAACAAAAAGACAGAAAAACTGAAAAATATGGGATCTAAAATAAGACCATACGTAAAACGACTTATTATAATTAGACGTAGAAAAATATGAAAACTACTTCTTGAAATACATAAACTAACCGTATATACTGTCTACAATCCAAAATACGAATATACAAACATGTAATTGATGTTGCAATTACTTCCAAGAAATGAAAACCAAAAATAGTCTATGGAAGTAGTGTGTTCGTGAAGAGCATATGAGCTTATGAGAATAAACACACAAATATATTAATAAGCAGAGTTTCGAGTTTTGAGCCCAAAACATAAAAATTACAAACTTTACCACCTCGACTCCCCAAAAAAATGTTAAATGAGTCTAACGTTTTACATGGTCTACCTCGAATTTTAGGCCTTACAGCTGATTTTTTTATATGTAGTTAGTATCCAGATTACTTATTTGTCAGACGAACCATTTATTCTTCTCTATCTTACTATCTATAATGAATATAGAACCAATAACTGTCGAACATGATATTGTAATGTATTATGAAATGGTGGTTAAAGTAAGAATGTAAATTTATGGGGTTATCAAAATATGGACTTCGCTTTTTTTGCTTGTATATGAAGACAGCATCCAACAAACGTTTTGGAGGACTCATCGGCTTTTCTTATGCCTTTTCATAAAACTTATAAATAATCTACTGCCTTTCCTGTTAATTCATACTTTTGTGTCATTATTATTACACCATATGTTATCTCATGAAAAAAAAAATAAGACCATTTTACTTAAATAAACCTATTTTAACCTTTTTCCTGATGTCACTGTTAAATCATTATATATCATAACAAGGAAGTCAAGATAATTTTACATCTTTTTAAATTAAATTATTACAACACAAAAAATATTTCAGAATCATTTTTCACCCTTATCTAGGAAAAATATTGACTCCCTTTTCATAAATGAAATTTTAGTACCATATATATATTAGGAGATGTGGTATGACTGATAGGAAATCGATGTAGTATGATTGTCTATCAAATGTAGCAAAATTGACAATGAACTGTAGTGTGCTTGTCCATGAGATGTTTTATGATTGCCAAAAAAAGAAACTATGTATGATTTGTATACAATTTTAGAAAGGCACAGCAAAGCAGGAAACGCGTACCCTGTCGAAACAGAGTGAGTCTATGATATTCCATCAGAGTTTTTCATCTTTTTTAATGTTTGAATATCAGTAAACTGTTGTTGCTTCATATTTTGTAGGGTTAGCTTCTTACACAACATCTGTTCGAACAGGATTATAAGGAAGAACGACTACTAACGACATGTTTTCGTTATCTTAGCTCTTTAGAAACCAGAATAGTCGATAAATCTTTTACTGATTGTGACCTATTCCCGATTTGTGACATTTTGAATGAGAGTTGACTCTCATGGCGGGTGATGTATGCGTAGCAGGAGACACTTACCCTGTCAACGTACCTGGTCTTGCCTCAATTAGGGCCCAAGCGTTTCCTTCTGTTTTTATTTGTTAACTTCATTTGTCTTCTTAATCGATTTACTAGCTTTGAACATCGGTAAACTACTGGTGCCTTAAGTTTTCAAGTATTGTAGCCTGTGACCACCACTGAAGAGACATTAAATGTCGAAATGTGCATCTGGTGCAGTTAATCAGTACCGTTAATGTTATAACCGTTAGTTCTTTTGATATAATATAATTTTTACATCTGGAAAAGTAAGAACTTTTTTCTTCAAGAATGTGAAAAGGGACAAAAACAAAAAAAAAACAAAGCATTTAGGTTGTCACACCTTGAACTTTTTCTGTTTCGTTCTTCTTTCTTTGTCAGTCGTTTGTTTGACAATAAAAATTCAAAGGAACATCGTACAAATAAAGCTTAAGATACCAACTAAATACTACTACTAAATAATTCTGTATTTATATTATATGTCATGGATTAAGTAGTTAGTTTTCTTTTGTTTTATCAAAAAAGATCATTGCAGACTTGTTCCTATTTCAACAGTGTTGGCATGATATATTTTGCTTCTTTTATAGTGAAATATTGTTTTTGAAATTTTGATCTTTTTCCTCTCATTTGACATTTCCATACTCAATGATATTTTTTTGTAAGAAGAAAAAGATATTGCTTTTGAATGTTTGCTTCCCTTTGATCAACGCCTATGGTGTGTTTTAGTTAGTAAAAGTTGTCAATAGGTATTAAATATATAAATATATTGATAAGATAAGATAAGATAGATAATCTTTATTTTACAATAAAATGCATGTACACAGAAATCAAACGGTTGAGAAAAATGAACCTCAACTTGAACCAGGAATGAGGTAGGTGAGCTAGAGGGAGTCAGCAGTGCATCAACAAGTGGTCCTCGTCGTGTTACTCTTGTTTATATATGTTGTAGAGTCATAGCCGATGATAAAGCAAGAAGTGACGATTTCAGCCTTTCGTTTTGATAACGCTTGCTTTTTATAAAAATTCACTATTTCTAAAGAAACATATATTGGTAAAACAAATCAACTCATATATGTAGATGCTATATGTGATGGCAGATAGTATGCTACTACAAGAATGGTCAATTGACAAAAGTAAAACTGAATTCATTATGATAGCCGTAGATCCTATACAGGTAAATTTGTTAACGTGAATCAAACGTGTTATGTTCATATGAATTTTTTTGTATGAATTTCACATAAATTTTCCACGTTAAAAATACATATGGTGTCTAAGTTAGTATAAACTATAATCCCAATCTTAAACTTTTGTAGATATATGATTCCTTATGATACCTTTACAGTATCCGCCTTTGAACACAATAGCTCACTTGAAAAATTACTATTTTCACGTATAAGTTTGATTCACATGAAATCCACGTGAACAAAATTTGCCTGGTTACAACTGTCAAATTTTGAGACAAATATAAAGAACGGAGCACACGTTTTCATTTATAAATTATTCATAAGTATATGAGATGTAGTTTTACCAAAATAAGGATAATTGGCTGAAATTATATTATCAGCATATCAGATATAAATTGGAAAAACTTTACTAAATATGAATAAAGACGTTACGTGGGATTTCTCTTCATATTGTTAATCGTGTTGTAGATCTATCAATTCCGAATGAAGAAGATTATGTGCGTAGTCTTCCATTAGTCAAAATTGTATAATTCAGATAAATAAAGAAGCGGAAGATACCAAAAAGACAATGATAAAAATTAGGTTGAACAGAAACCGACAAAACCCTGGCAGAAAACGACTGACTACAAAACATTTCAAAGGAAACTACAGACTGAGCTGTTAAAACTTATAGACTAGTAAATACTTTTGCACAAAACAGTATTTCTTTACAGAATTTTTTTTCAATCCTAGAATCCGTAACTTAATGGGCATGTTGGTCAAAGCTAAATTGTAGAAATTCGAATCCCGTATGGTACCCCATAAAAACCAAACTATGTATGGCATAATGTCTCAGCTTCAGTACGAGCAATCATACATATCCAAGTTTACAAAATGGGGAAGGAATGAAAAAAAACTTACTATTTTTACCTACCTTAAATGAATTACTATAATCTACTTAGTTGAATCCCGTTTCTGAACAAATTTTCATTGTACTGTATTCATAAATCTGTACTTATAGTCCCTTTTCATCTCTTTAAATCGTGTTACTCGTTGTATAAATTCTGACGTTATCGGGACATATCATCTGAGTGTAATTGTTAGTACCACTGTTGCGCTGTTTAAACACTGTCTGAGGTAAGGCGAAGGGTTGAATGATGGAAAACATTGTCAACTACGTCACATACTTAAATAGCTGTATTCCAGCTTATGTCATCTTCCTGATATTCTTGTTTGTAGAATTGGTTTTGGAGTAGTTTGTTATATGTTTTCGTTTTGGTTTTTGTTTGTTATTTTTTTAAAGGGGTAATTTTTTCAGAGACAATATACGGTAGCTGTACAATAAGGGTCTCATTTCATCGTTGATACAGTGTCTTTGTTTTAATATTCTAGTTAGGTGTGTCTCTATTTTATTATATTCATGTCTATCTTTTTAGTTAGTACATGTAGCTACTCTATGTCCCCAACCCCCAAAAAAAGAGATCTGTTTAAGTCAGGTTAT